TATATATATATATATTTTTTTTTTTTTTTACAGTGTAGTTTTTTTTTGACCCCATGCAAAATTGCTGTTTTCTGCTGTATATTTTTTTTATAAAAGCAAAAATGTAACTTTGCATTTTAGTTGGATATAGGCTATTGCTATTAGATTAGAGATGAGAGATTAATATGGCATTACTTACTATGGTGCTACTTGCAATTGTTTGTGAAATTTACTGGCAACTTCCAAATTAAAATTGTTTCTATATTAAGTTTTTTCCCCCTTCAGTGCAGGGGCGTGTCTACGTGGTGGCCAGGGGTGGCACCGGCCCCCCCTGAAATTTGGCTGGCCACCCCAGGTGCCCCCCCTACCAGATGTCTTGCCATAGGCTTGTTTTTAGTAAATTTCTAATTTTAGGCGGTTTCTATAGTGTAATCTTAATGACAATGTCAAGAGCGCATAATGTTACGCAATCCATGTGTGCGAGGACGAATCTCTCCACTCCCAAGCGGATTTCCTTCACTCACACAAAACTGGACGTGTGCTTTTAACATCGTTCCGCAAACACAACCCCCCACCACCCCCGGCCACCCTCTTTTGAGCCAGTGCCCCCGACTGGCCCCCCCCCCCATTTAAAATGCTCTAGACACGCCCCTGCTTCAGTGTAGACCCCAGTGTGCCACCGTGATATTGTCTGGGTATCCAAATGTCTATAAAACTGAAAATGTATGGATACTTTGGTGGCTGGAAAGGACAGGCAGTTTGCTAGATGAATCACTTGCAGGACTGTTTCCTCTTAATTAGCATACAAATGTTTGAGCATTGGAGAATTTTGGCTTTAAATTGGAATGGTGTTGACTATGTCAATAAAACCTTGGTGGACTTCCACTTGGCAAGTCAGTGTAATCATGTGGACCTGACAGTTAGCTTAGTGATTCCAGAAGCTTTATTTAGATCTGAGACACTTTCTTATTTACAAACAAATGCCCTAATTTTAAATGGTGTGCCAGATATTGGCAAGTACTTAGATGACAAATGGTCCATTTCATCCTTCTTTCACCCCCAAAGATTCCGAGGCTTGTTAATTCGTACCTATTCTGTTTTACCCTTTTGGCTACATTAGAAAAACCATACATTTCTGAAGTCATTTTACATTTAAATTGTGCGCATGCTGTTGATATATAAAAGGTTGGTTAGATTTTTGTAATGTTTTTGAAAGCAGTCTCTTTTACTCACCAAGGCTATATTTATTTGATCAAAATACAGTAAAACAGTAATATTATGAAATATTATTACAATTTCAAATATTTTAAAATGTAATTTTATTCCTGTGATGCAAAGCTGAATTTTTCAGCAGCCATTACTCCAGTCTTTATTGTCATATGATCCTTCCGAAATCATTCTACACTGCTCATTTGGTGCTCAACATGCATTTTGTATATCAATATTAAAAACAGTTGTGCTTCTTAATATTTTTTGTGGAAACTGTGATACTTTTTTTAGGATTGTTTCTTTGATGAATGAAAAGTTCAAAAGAACAGCATTTGTTTGAAATAGAATTTTGATCAATTTAATGCTTCCTTGCTGAACAAATGTATTAATTTCTTTAAAAAAAAATCTTACTGACCTTAAACTTTTGAACGATTGTGTACATTGTATACATTTAAATTGTGCGCATGCTGTTGATATATAAAAGGTTGGTTAGATTTTTGTAATGTTTTTGAAAGCAGTCTCTTTTACTCACCAAGGCTATATTTATTTGATCAAAATACAGTAAAACAGTAATATTATGAAATATTATTACAATTTCAAATATTTTAAAATGTAATTTTATTCCTGTGATGCAAAGCTGAATTTTTCAGCAGCCATTACTCCAGTCTTTATTGTCATATGATCCTTCCGAAATCATTCTACACTGCTCATTTGGTGCTCAACATGCATTTTGTATATCAATATTAAAAACAGTTGTGCTTCTTAATATTTTTTGTGGAAACTGTGATACTTTTTTTAGGATTGTTTCTTTGATGAATGAAAAGTTCAAAAGAACAGCATTTGTTTGAAATAGAATTTTGATCAATTTAATGCTTCCTTGCTGAACAAATGTATTAATTTCTTAAAAAAAAAAATCTTACTGACCTTAAACTTTTGAACGATTGTGTACATTGTCATGTATATACTGTATATATTTCTTGTTTTAACTCATACAGTCTGCAAATAGATGATGGGTTCTGTTTGCTGTATCACTTCGGTAATCACTATCACATCCTGAGGAATGAGGATGTTTTGTAATGGGATGAAGGGAGATTTATATGAAGTAATGATGTTTAGGGCAAGGCATTACCCCCTTAGGACTCTCAGCCGCTCTGAGAAATATATAATTGAGATATCTTGCCAATAAATGGATTAAACAATGGATGATTTCTATCTCTGTCTACTGAGGTCACAAACTAGCTCATGCAATCAGCAGCTGACCTTCCAAACCAGCGGTTCTCAATTCCAGTCCTGGTGCCCCCCACCCCCCTCTGTATATTTTGCATCTCTCTTGTGTAACACACCTGATTCAGATAACCAGCTTGTTAGAAGAGAGCTCCATGCATGAACTGTGTTCCGATTGACAGGATCCCTACACAGTGTTCACTGCTGTCTACTCCCTGCACAAGGGAAATCCGGGAAGTTTACTTCACATCGGAACATTCATTCACGGATTTACGCCACTGCCTGCAGCATCTTCACACACAGGCAAACTTACTAGAGAAGTGTGAAGTGTGACATAATATACCTCTGTAAATAAATACAAATTTAAATTTGTAAATAATGTAAGGGAAACAGGTCAATAATTTAGCTCAAAGGGAATCATCACATCCTGAGGAATGAGGATGTTTTGTAATGGGATGAAGGGAGATTTATATGAAGTAATGATGTTTAGGGCAAGGCATTACCCCCTTAGGACTCTCAGCCGCTCTGAGAAATATATAATTGAGATATCTTGCCAATAAATGGATTAAACAATGGATGATTTCTATCTCTGTCTACTGAGGTCACAAACTAGCTCATGCAATCAGCAGCTGACCTTCCAAACCAGCGGTTCTCAATTCCAGTCCTGGTGCCCCCCACCCCCCTCTGTATATTTTGCATCTCTCTTGTGTAACACACCTGATTCAGATAACCAGCTTGTTAGAAGAGAGCTCCATGCATGAACTGTGTTCCGATTGACAGGATCCATACACAGTGTTCACTGCTGTCTACTCCCTGCACACGGGAAATCCGGGAAGTTTACTTCACATCGGAACATTCATTCACGGATTTACGCCACTGCCTGCAGCATCTTCACACACAGGCAAACTTACTAGAGAAGTGTGAAGTGTGACATAATATACCTCTGTAAATAAATACAAATTTAAATTTGTAAATAAATACAATTTAAATTCACGTCTCGCACACGTTAATGCCCTTTGAATGGAACATATACTCTCCCTATGAACTGGAATCATGGCGGAATATTCTGTGAAGTCCACTTCCCAGTGCACTATCCAGCCACCTTATTACCCACACTTTGTGCGAATTATAGGTGTAACTTCCGTTAAGCTGTAAACAATCAGTGAAAGGCTCGCTCTATGAATGCAATAATATGTTGTTGTTTTTTTAACTGGGTACGAGATGACATTATTCTACTCACCCTTCAACCATCAAACATTAAAATGACATTTAAAAGTGTAAAAGCATAAACAAAGTACTTTCAACAGACCATGAATAATCCCAAAAGCACGATTCTTTCCACAGCAATAACAGACGGGTGAAATATCACTGTAGTAATATATATCTGTATTATGTAACATACAGATATAATATTATGACCACTGACAGTTAAAGTGAATAACACTGATTATCTCTTCATCACGGCACATGTTAGTGAGTGGGATATATTAGGCAGCAAGTGAACATTTTGTCCTGAAGTTGATGTGTTAGAAGCAGGAAAAAATGGGCAAGTGTAAGGATTTGAGCGAGTTTGACAAGGGCCAAGTTGTGATGGCTAGACGACTGGGTCAGAGCATCTCCAAAGCTGCAACTCTTGTGGGTGTTCCCGGTCTGCGGTGGTCAGTATCTATCAAAAGTGGTCCATGGAAGGAACAGTGGTGAACTGGCGACAGGGTCATGGGCGGCCAAGGTTCACTGATGCACATGCGGAGCGAAGGCTGGCCTGTG